GTAGTTATACTTTGTTACTACCTTTTGGTGCAGCTAAAAAAATGATTGCTAAAAGCTGAAACTTACACTAAATATGAATGACAAAACAAACAAACAAACAATACATAAATAAAAATAAATAAAAAAAGATCGAATTGAAATTTAGAAAACTAAATGAATAATTCAGTGACTGAATGAAACAAATCGCTGATTGATGAATCAAATCAAAAATGATTTGAATCAAATTAACTATCTGCAAATCAAATAAATGATTCAAGAATCAAGTCAAATAATTTATTTATAAAACCCACAAACTTAATGAACTGATTCCCGCAAATGATTCAGATTTCCCATAGTCAACAATAATTTTTTTAGGAAACGTGTTTGATTAAATGAAATTACATTTAGAAAATGAAAAGAACGAATGAGTGAATCATTTATTTGATTTGAAAATGTACTTGATTCATTCGTTTTATTTGAAAATCATTAACTTGATTCAAGTCATTCAAATTATTTCTGTAAACGACCCACAAACTGGATGAACTGATTCTCTAAAATGAATCAGATTTCTCAAAACTGGTCGACACGAACATTTTAGGAAAGCGTGTATGATAATCAATTTGTTGCGGTACATTCAAGCTCAAGGGTCACTTTTTCACCTTTGCCATTGCAGGGAAGAAAACGAACAAATTGCAATCAAGCATCATGTGCATCCATCTATTAAATCAGTGGTTCCCAGCCCTGATCCTGGAGGCACCCCAACAATGCATGTCAACACTGCAAACACACCTGATTCAGGTCATCGGCTCATTAGTAGAGACTCCAAGAGCTGAAACTGGTGTGTCAGAGAAAGAAGACATGCAAAATGTGCAGTGTTGGGGTGCCTCCAGGATCAGGGTTGGGAACCACTGTATTAAATAAATAGAACTAGTGAAAAAACAAATCTGGTCCTCAGAAGCTTAAAATAGTCCAGCATATTGAACGGACTGTACTTCTGGCCCCCGTGGTCTTGTTTTCATCTCCTCAAATTAAATACGTCGTCTACTTCCACTCGGGTCGCTGAAGTCTTTCTTGTTGGCGTTTGATAACGTGAGGCACAGATGGCGATACAAGTATGCAATATGAGCGGTGAGGCCTCTGTCTAGACCTCTATTCCCGCACGGAGCGTCATCCCTGCACATTCCTCAATGCTTAAAAAGCAATAAGCCACGGCCACAGTCCTTCAGATGAGAGTAATTGTACAGGGATCCAACAGCGAGCGCGTAAGCGAGAGTTGAGGATGGGTAAAAATAGCTCGAAACTGGAAATGAAGATGTATCTCTAGCAGCTGAAGAAGTGCGGGCCGCTCATAACCCCTCGGAGCCGCTGCCGCGTGTAATCCGCTTGTTTGGAGAATATGAGGTTATTGAACAGAGCTTTGACTTCTCGGGCCTTTGAACGAGGACTCGGGTATTGCTCTTGTTGGGAAATGAAAAAGGACCTTGCGAGGGTTTAGATGAGCTCTTGAACGGAGATCTGGGATATCAGATGCAAAATACAGAGAAAACCAAATCCAAATAGACTACAGGCCAAATGTTTGGAATAACAACACCTTTTTTCAAAATTTTCAAGTCTCTTCAGCTCACCAAGTCTTCATTTTTTTGATCAAATATACATTACATTTTGAAAAATGATTAACATTTAAAAGAACTGTTTTCTATGTTAACATTTGAAAAGGTAATTTATTACTTTGATGCAATTTTCAGCATCATTACGCCAGTCTTCAGTGTCACATGATCCAGAAATCATTCTAATATGCTGATTTGCTGCTCAAGAAACATCATTATTATTTTCAGTGTTGGAAAGAGTTGTGCTGCTTCATATTTTTCTGAAAACCATATTACAAAGCATCCTTGAATAAAAGTCGTATTTGTTTTCTTTTGTTAACTTTAATATGAAGCAGCACAAATGTTTTCAACATTGATAATCAGAAATGTTTCTTGAGCAGCAAATCAGTCTTCAGTGTCACATGATCATCAGAAATCATTCTAATATGCTGAAGTAAAAATACATTACAATAGAAAATATTTTTAAATGGTAATAATATTGCTGTTTTAACTGTATTTATCAAATGAATGCAGCCTTGGTGAGCATATAGACTTAAAGATTTTTTTTCTTTTATTATTGATGCAACATTAACGAAAGGAATGTTTGTTTTATTTACTTATCTAATAATAATAATAATAATAATAAATATTTTTCCCATTTCCTTTGAATGTAGGGTGTGGGTAATTGGTTTTATATTATATTATAAATTATTATAAATTATATTTTCACTTGGTGGGTTTAATTGAGACAATCTGTGATTTAAATAAATAAATAAAATATTTTTTTATTTTTTTAAAAGCTATAATAGGATCTCAGTGATGCAAATATAACACAGCAGACTAGTTTTTATGAGTTGTTTATAGAAACTGGCTCCTGGTTTGATTATCCTAGAATGGCTCTGCTTTGCTTCAGGCCTCTTGACATTTTTACGGTTAGAGACTACCGCTGTACAACAAAACGCCAGATTCCCACACGAGAACCGGATATTGTCAGTGTTTAAACGTGGAATTGCTTGTTCAGCCTGAAGTGACATCAAAATCCCATTTAGAGAGGTCAAAGGTCACGGGACCGGGATCTAAAAGAGCTCTGATGCCGTTCACGGCATTGTTTGGTTTTAGTGTTTTTGTATACGAAACCGAGAAAACAGAACAACAGAAAACAAACAGACCTGCATTTATTGGCGGTCGAGTGAGGTGCGTCCCCTCAATGAAGTGTAATTGTCCCTGAGTGACTAGAAACTGTTCTTTCCATTTGATCCTTTCGAGACGCGCCGTGTCTTAGACTCTCATCGCTGCCTGAACGGCTGTAATTATGGTCGGCTCTGATAATTGTGTCCGAACTGACATCCGGCCCGTCTCACCCACAAATCAAATGACATTTCTACACATAAACCGCCAGAACATGTGAACCGAAGACGAGCTGCGGCAAAACTAAAAGACGTTCAAACGTGTAAATCTTACACGATTTACTTCCATAATGTGACATCGGTATTAGAGGAAATAGTTGATTTTTATGTTTCTTTCTAACGTTACATTTTCCAAGCTTCAGAACCCTGAACAAGGTTGTCCGTATATACGACTGGTCAAAAGTTTGGAATAAGTTTATTATTATTATTATTAATACAGTTTTAGGAATTTTTTATTTCAGTTTGTTTTTGTAGCACATCAGGTTTATCTAAAAAAATAAATAAATAAAAAATAAACGTTGCCTTGGCAAGTAGCTGAAATAAAATCCACGCTTATGACTTTATTATTTTTTTAGTTAACATTTTTATTTCATGCAAAAAAAAAATGAAAACATTTGTTACCCGAAATAAAATAAAACATTGAGTAACTTTTAAGACTAGTCTTAAGTTGTATATAGAACCAGCCACAGGTTTATCATTATTAACTAAAACTATGAAAAACATTTTTGTTGAATGAAATATGGCTGAAGTGAAAGAAAAATAACCTTACATTTTTTAAGAAAAAGATTGCCATTAATGTGGCGTCAAAAAATAAGTTTAGGTCGAAGTACTAAATTTACTAACTGTAAATAAAACCAAAAGTGAACTACTATTACTACTACTAATAATTATCATAAATTGTAATATAAAAAAAAACTACATGGTCTCATGGCATAAATGTACCTGGGTGCACTTTTTAGCGAGACGCGAAATACGTACCAATAAGCACATATCACTGCAGTTTCCAAAATAAATGAACACTAGAGGCAGTAAAACTCTGACACTTTTTATTCCTTTTCACACAAATTTACAGAGTTTCGATTAATAAAGCGTAATTTTCGCACAATTACTTGAAGAATATCATGTTATGACTTCAAAACAATATTAATATGCTGGGAGATTTGAAAACTGATGCTTTTGAACGTTAGCATCGCACATATCCAGCTTCATATCTATGGGTTTTCATCGACGGTAGGTTTGTTCGGTAGCTCACGGCGTACGGAGACGTACTTGAGAGGCGAGGATCTCCAGCTCGAATCCCGTGGATCCACGGTTCGACAAAGCAGTTCAAATCTGCATATAAGAAAGTTCAAATAGCACGGTTGCATCAACAAATGCTGCCACTCAGTGGACATTTCTCTTTGAAACTGCGTCGAAACGTGCAGTAAGGTACGTAAAAATGGTGTTGCACAAAAAGTGCACAGAGGTACGTATTTTTATGAGACCGGGTTGAAGAAAGAGAAAAGCACAAATCACTACAATAATTTTTTTAAACCAATAGTGAAAATAATATATTACTAGAGCCCATCATAGGTTATAAATACTAAAATAACACTGAATCAAGCAAAACACCTGCCAATGCTGAAGGATTTTTTTTTTCTATTAAAAAAATTTTTTTAGTCCCTATAACAATATTTAGCTGCCTTTTTGAATGCCATATTTGTGCTAAAAAGTGCTAGTTTTGAGATTTAAATCTTAGTGTTCCTCACATTATGGCAGGTAAATGTGAGTATTTCACAGGTGTCTCTGAATGAAGTTCTCAAGATGATCAGTCCGGCCCGGCTGTGAAATTCATCCCAGAAGTTTTCATTTCCCTTTTATGTTTTGATATAATAACTAACACTATTTCTTTCTCCCCCACCACCTTTTTTTCTCAATTATTTCCTCTCTCTGTTTAATCTTTATTTTCTTTGCCCCGTGGGACGCTGCGTTTTGACAGGAAGGAAGGAGCGAAGGCAAGAAATAGATGATGCAGGGGTGTGCGTGCGGCGGGCTGGTGCAATCTACCGTACTTTAATGTAAAAGTCCCACAAGGATTCATCCCAAAGGACACAAGCTGAAAACATACACACACACACGCTCACACAAAGAAGGACTACAGAGAAAGACGATGGAAGCAATGACCAAACTCACACAGACCCAACCCTCAGAGAACAGAAACACATATCCAGACGGCTGATCTAGAACCTTCTGCAGATCACTGACCCCCTCACGGCAAACAAGCAGACGCTTCAGCGTCATCCATCACTGACAAACACACACCACAGCTCTGCTCCTGTGTAGAATAGAATAGAATAGAATTCAAAAATAATGGCTTCTATAAAAGTCTATGCAACAGACTTATCAAAACTATTAAATCTAAAACTATTAAATCATTAGTGAAATGAAATAAAGCTAAAATAAAATAAAGCTAAAATAAAAATAAAATAAAAATAAACTGGCTAATATAGATGTGGTTCTGTTGAAACTGAGAGAATGAAAAAAAAACATCAGTAAGAATGGACTGAAATGTATAAACCAATCAGTAATATTTTGCATCGCAACAGTTTTCCAGCAAAAAAATATTTAAGTTATATTAACTATATGCATTTACAGCTATTACTTTTTACTCTTTTTAAGAAAAGCATTTTAAATTAATATTCTAAAATAAACAATTTAAATTAATAATATTCTAAATTAGAAAACTAATTAAATTAATAATTTAATATTCCGATTTTTTTTATTATTATCTGGGATTATACATAAATGTTATATATAATATATACCTATAAAATACACAATTATGAATATACATAATGTATGTTTTGTAGCACATACTGTAAATACTCTCTTAGTGCCAATCTTATATTAAATGTGGCGATTTGATTTGTCATCAATAATGAATCAATTATAATGCACAAATGTAATTTAAAGAAACAAAATATAATTATTTTAATAGTTTATGTAAAAATACATAATACAAAAATAACTAATTACATTAATTTACTTTTATATTATTTAATTTTTTGTATAGTTTTTTCCCTGTTTCTTTCTGCTATTGCTATTTTTGTGATTTATTATAACAGTACCATATTATTTTCAATTTATACAAGAATTAATTAATGACAGTATTTCCTTCCATTTGTCCTTCAGCTGTTTAAATATAACTCACTCACTCAACTCCGCTCATATCTTTTTTTAGTGCTGTCAAACGATTAATCGTGATTAATCGCATCCAAAATAAAAGTTTTTGTTTGCATAATATATGTGTGTGTTCTAGGGGTCGACCGATATGTGTTTTTCAAGGCCGATGCCGATACCGATTATTACAGATCAAGTAGACCGATAACCGATATTTTGA